AGGTGGTAAGATAGCCTAATGATTTGATTATTACACATTATTGTATGCTTGTTCAAATATCATCTATATTCCATAAATATTTACAACTACTATGTATCAGCAAAGAGTAGGGGACAAGGCCAGGTGCAGTGACTTATGCCTGTAATCCTAACACTCCGGGAGGCCAAAGTGAGTGGACCACCTGAGCTCTGGGGGTTTAAGACCTCATCTCTAAAAGCACTTGGATGCTGTGGCGAGTGCCTTTAGGCCCAGCTACTTAGGAAGCTGAGGCAAAAGGATCACTTGAGCCCAAGAGTTTGGGGTATACCACAGTACCCTACCGAAGGTGACAGAGTGAGATTCTGTCTCAAAAAAAAAGAAAAAAAAAAAGTAGGGGACAAAGACACTCCTTGAAGCATGTGCACGGATAGGTTGTACAGACATAAGCTTGGCAGCAGACAAGATAGGCCAGGGATTTTTTTTTTTTTTGAGACAGAGCCTCAAGCTGTCCCCTTGGGTAGAGTGCCGTTGCATCACAGCTCACAGCAACCTCCAACTCCTGGGCTCAAGCGAGTCTCCTGCCTCCACCTCCCAAATAGTTGGGACCACAGATGCCTGCCACAACGCCCGGCTATTTTTTTTGGTTGCAGCCATCATTGTTTGGCAGGCCCAGGCTGGATTCAAACCTACCACCTTAGGTGTATGTGGCTGGCGCCTTAGCCACTTGAGCCACAGGCACCGAGCCAGGCCAGGGACTTCTTAGGGGTTCCTCAACTTTGGCATCGTAATGTTTTTTCGTGTAGGACCACAATTTTCAACTGGTGTGCCATGTGAGAGGATGTTAGTGTAACACAGATATTTTAAAGATCGCTAATAAAATTATTTTCCAAAGAAATTCAAAGCAAAGTAAGTGGCTTTTTACTCTTTTCTTTTCTTTTTGCAATTTTTGGCCAGGGCTGTGTTTGAACCTGCCACCTCTGGCATATGGGGCCGGCGCCCTACTCCTTTGAGCCACAGTCGCCGCCCCTTTTTACTTTTTTTTTAATCAACATAATTTAAGTGTGCCATGGAAGTTTAACTACGGGTTCAAGTGTGCTGTGAGATAAAAGATTGAAAATCACTCCTCTAGGGGGCAGATTCTCCAGATAAAATTTTTCTGATTTCCAACCAGAGGAGTAAAGACCTTGCTCACATCCTTCCGGGAAAACAGTAGGAGATACACACACACACACAACTTTATTCCCTTTAAACCCCTGAGCTCAATAGAGCTTGGCATTCCTCATCAAGAAAACTCCTGTTCACCATCCCCAGAGAATAAACTAATGCAGGGGGAGAGGGAGGATTTACTTAGGGAGAAGGGTTCTAGAGTTTAACAGATTCTTAAAAGGTCTTCAATCAACTCTATTTGTTCTAGTATTTGCCCCTTTGCCACCAGTGAGGCACCAGCTACTGCTAATCCCTCAGCCTCTCAAGCACTTTGTCAGTGCAGTTCCCCCAGCCAGGGAGGATTTATGCTTAAATCACTTATACTTAGCTCACAGGTTCAAGACTAGCCTGAGCCAGTCCCTTTACAATGGTGTTGTAGGGCTTTGGGAGGAAGCCAAATTAGATGTGTGTGTTCAGTCTGTTACCTTTCTAGAACCTGTATTTTTTTATTTTAACCTCCCCAAATAACTTAAGGGATGTGTCCACTTGAAAACACTCCTCTGAGTTTGCCTTGCTGACTCTGGGCAAACTGTTTAAATGTATATAATAGGGACAGATAAAAATGCCAGAAATTCCTATCATTTGCACATTGTGAAATACGGCAAAATGACGTGTGCCCATTCAAGACGTTAAGTGCTTTATCAATTTAAGGTCTATTGCTATCTTCTTACAGGAAGGTACTACTTCACTGTTAGCAGGGTAAGCTGCAGGAGAGTGCCCTGGATGAAAGGGCTATTCTCCTTGTCCCTCATTTAGGGCACAGATTTAGGCTTCTCCATGACAGGTGATGATCAAGTCACTAAATGAAATGTAATAAAACAAATGGTTTCAGCTTCCTTGTGTTCTAACCAAAACAAAGAAGGCTATGCTGTTTGGATATGTGCTGTTCATGTGTGTGATGGTATATGAATTTTTAATATAAGTATTTTGTTTCCTCACAGGCATCTAGATTATGTTAATAGCAGGCTGGCAGGCCCTATCATTCAGAAGATACAGGAAATTAATATTTCTGAGAAGACAGGAAATTAGATACTACTTCAGAGGGTGAAGCATTTGGCTCCTAATGAAAAATAACTTTTGATAGCACAGTACTATCACCTTCAAAGTGTTTGGTAAATATTAAGCTTTCTTTTCACGCCTTTTTTGAAGGCGTAAAGACACCACATAGGTAATTTGCAGGCCCTGGGTGGTTCCAAAAATGCTAGTAGGATTCTACCATCAACTAGGATTCAGGAAACCTGGGTTTCTGTCCCAGCTCTCTCCCAAAGAGAGAGAGGCCGGTCAGGCCGGGATGGATACTTTCTTCATCTATAAAACAGTAATCTCCATCATTTTTTCACTCCTGATTTCTCTTTGCATTCACAGAGTCAAAAGTAAATAAATCAAACATAATTTATTCTTTTAAACAATTTAAATAGAGGCTGGGCATGGTGCCTCATGCCTATAATCCTAGCGCTCCAGAAGGTCAAGACGGGTGGTCTGCCTGAGCTCACAGGTTCAAGACCAGCCAGATCCAGAGTAAGACCCCATCTCTAAAAATAGCCCGGCGTTGTGGTGGGCACATGTAGTTCCAGCTACTTGGGAGGCTGAGGCAAGAGGATCACTTGAGCCCACGCGTTTGAGGTTACTGTGAGCTATAATGCCACAGCACTCTACCAAAATCAACAAAGTGAGACTCTTATCTCCAAAAAAAACACCCGAATTTAAATATATTTTAATACTAATATAAACATTCTTTAATCTACATGCCAAAATTTAGTCTAAATATCATCAATTGCATTGAAATCTTACATCTAAAAGTATTTTTTAATCAAGAAATAATAGTTAAAAGTAAATATACTTTTAACCTAATGTAAATTTAATTTTAATGTAAATGTACTTTTCTTTCATCCCAAATTAATAAAAGACTATCATCTAAGCCAGATTTTTTTTTTTTTTGAGACAGAGCATCAAGCTGTCCCCCTGGGTAGAGTGCTGTTGCATCACAGCTCACAGCAACCTCCAACTCCTGGTCCCAAGCAAGTCTCCTGCCTCAGCCTCAAAAGTAGCTGGGACCACAGGCGCCCGCCACACGCCTGGCTATTTTTTTTTTTTGGTTGCAGCCGTCATTGTTGTTTTTTGGCGGGCCCAGGCTGGATTCAAACCCGCCACCTCAGGTATATGTGGCTGGCGCCTTAGCCACTTGAGCCACAGGCACCGAGCCAAAGCAAGATTTTTTTAATCTGCAGATTTAAAACTTCAATGAAGAGCTTTGTTGGGTGAGGGGATGAGATATAGAATCTTGCATTTTTTTATATGTCAAATGATAAAGATCTCATTTGTAAGATAAACCAATTTTTGTAAAATATTTCATTATTTACCATATTGTTTGGTAATAAAAGTGAGCTGCAAAGCAGCTACTTGATTTTTCTACCATATAGAGGGATGTTTTAATAAACTAAGCTGGAAATTAAAATTATTTCATGATAGAAAGGAAAAAGGGGGTTTCACAGGCAGTGCCTGTGGCTCACTGAGTAGGGCACCAGCTCCAAATACCAACGGTAGCGGGTTCGAACCCAGCTCGGCCAAACTGCAACAAAAAAATAGTAGAGAGTTGTGGCAGGAGCCCTGAGTCCCAGCTACTCAGGAGACAGAGGTAAGAGAACTTCCTAAGCCCAAGAGCTGGAGGTTGCTGTGAGCTGTGATGGCACAGCACTCTACTGAGGGCAACAAAGTGAGACTCTGTCTCCAAAAACAAAAGGGGGGGGGGGTTCACATTATACCCAGTACTAACAGATTTGTGGGGTAAGATTTATGTATGTTTTGCATGCTTTGATTAATTGCACCTTGGTTTAAACCCTAGCTGTGACCATGATCTTGCCAGTGGACTCTCAGCAAGCCAAATAATTGGGGTCAGTTGTCCCGCTTCAAATATGCTGTGACAGTAAAATGAAATCAGAAGTATTCTGAAAAGAAAATAGCATATATGCCAAATACTGGGGCTGTGCCTAATTAGCTCAAATATTTAAGTGCCTGTGTGTGGAGAATGGGTTGAGTCCCTGTTCTATATCGTTTTATTCCATGAATTTCTCTCAGAACACCATCCTGTCTTTCACAAAGCCAAAGGACCAAGGCTACCTATGTGTTGGTTCACGTAATTTACCTCCACTGAAAATAACAGTATTAATCTATCTCAGGTTTTGCTTTTAATCAGACCACTTATCTGTCATAATGAAAGACTCATACATGTTCTACTTTTACGTTTACTATTAAGCTTTTTCTCAGTGACATCAAGAACAGAAACCTATCTGAAAGATAAGGATGTTTAAGACGATTGGAACCATATTCTGATGGTTTTCCAAGCCTACAGGTAGGAATCACTCATACCCCGTGGTGACTGAACTGATGAAGTCCGCAGCTCTCAAAAGCACAGAGCATTACACGCACTCCCCGGGAGATGTCATTCCTTAAGAGTCTACTCGCTACTAAAGCGTCTGGAAATGTCAGGTGCTCGAATAAAAATAATGGGCAATCTCTAGTAACAAGTCTCAGTCGTTTTACTACTGTAGCAGACTCAAGAAATTGGGGTGGTGGTGCTGGCTTTCAAAGGAGTATTCGGAATGGCTACACAGCGCCAGAGCGGTCTCTGCAGAGGGCTGCGACGGCCCTGGCTCTGGCTGAGTGGGCTTTTCCTCAGGGACGGTGACCCAGAGGGGTTCTGCGAGGGGCCAAAACAATTCCCCTATGGCCATGCAGGCCTGCAACATGCAGCATTAGCATAGTTTCTTCCCAATCCCTCCCTTAGGGGAGATCGCGCGCCCGCGGGGGCCCATTACCATCCTGCAGGATGAGGGTGGGCTGCACCGCCTGTACCCGGAACTGCCTGGCCCTCCAGCCGGGGCTGGGCGCCCGCACCACCTCGCTAGCGGACAGCCAGGTCACGGTCTCAAAGTTGTCCCCGCGAGCCAGCGCCTCGGCCTCGGCGTGGTGCACGGCTACGCGGTCAAACTGGTAGAGGCCGCCGGAGTGGTCGAAGTGCACGTGGGTGGCCACAGCCAGCAGCGGCCGGCGCGCCGTGTCGTCTTTGGCCCCGCAGTCCTGCAGGAGGCCGGAGGAGTAGAGGTACTCCGGGAGGCTGCGTAGCCCCAGGCCTGTGTCAATCACCACGTCCTGCTCTGAACCGCGCACCAGCCAGATGTTGGCACGGTTGCCCGACTCGTAGAAGCGTTCTTGAATCCAGAAGATGCCATCGCCCAGAGACTTGTGGGCGTACCACTCGAGCGCCGACATGCTGGGCAGGGGTGCGGCCAGGCGGGGGTGGTTGTGGGCGTGCGTGTGTCCCACGGGCCGTGCACACAACAGGCGCTGCGGCTGTGTGGAGCTGTCTGCCCGCGGCCAGGGAGAAGGCGCAGAGAAAGGAGGGGGCGGAGGATGCGGGGACGCGAGGGGGAGGACCCGGAGGAGGAAGGACACGAATAGACCCTGCCTGGAGCGTCCCAGAAGCAGACGCAGCGCTGCCCGCACCGGGCGCAGGACCTGACGCAGCCTCTGCAGCCGCAGCACCGGGGAGTGTTAACGCAGGGGGCACTGCGGCAGAATGGAGACCCAGAAGGCGACACTTTCCTCACCCCAGGGGTCTGACTGCGGAGGCCAGTATAGAGGCGTGGGAAGGACTGGGCCCGCCCACCCACGGGCTCGCCGCAGAGCTTACTACCTGCCGGCGCCGAAAGAGTCGGCCCAAGCCAGTTGGACGAAAACTACGGCGCCTGCCAAGGGCTAAAAAGCTCTCTGCCGAGGGGGTGGGGCCTTGCTGGGGGCTGGGCGGGGCTAGCTGGTCCGGACTGGAGCGCGGCTCCGGGGCCGCGTGGAGGGCGGTGCGCGCTTCTCCCGAGGTGGAGCTGGCTTCTCTGTAGCGCGGCGTCCTCTGCCAGCACCTCTTCCTTGCCGGCCGGCACGTGGGCTGCAGTTTTGCCCAAGCCACGAGACTAAGTGAGCAGGTAACAGAGGAAGCAATGGAGACTTGGGAAGGGGTGGAGAGGGTAGAAGGAAGTTAAAGGGGCACATGGAGAAGGTGGGGGGAATCAGGGTTAGCGATTGATTCAAGAGCCTCTGGATTGAGGAGCGTTGGGAGATTGCTCTACAATCCTTCTCCTCCCCTTAAAATGTTTTTAAATCTTCATTTCCAGATCTTACCTAGTCTCTACCTCCCGGGACTGTTTGCAATGAGTTAGAAGGGAGTTTATGCGCTTATTGATAGTAGGTGATTTACCAAATCCGGAGACTATATTCTTGTTTAGGCACTAATCGTTGTCGCATATTGAGGCTAAGGACAGTACCTGTTTTCTTAACTGTTGGCACTTTATCCTGGGGAAGGGGGTTGTTAATGGTTTGTCTTTTTTCTAAATAATAATAATAATATATCCCCTGTTCCATTTGTTTTTTTTTTTTTTTTTGGTTAGTTTGTCCACCTTGGAAGAGGGTGCAGAAAGTTGGTAGACAAGCTCAACTGAGGAAAGGTGGAACGCTTTGTGGGGAGAATGAGAAAAGTGAATAATGCCTGGGTGTGGCCCTGCCAGCCACACATCTCACCCCCGCCATTAACATAACTCTCTGTCCCCGCTTCCCACCTCCCAACTATGGAAGCATCTATTTAGGCTTTAGAAATTCCTTTGAGAACTTGACTAACCTGTGTAAGTCAAGTAATTTCCTGTAATTGACCAGGAAAAATCATGAAGAGACCCATGAGACAGCATTATAAAAGATAATTACCAAAACCTTATTGCAGCAACTACTATTAAGTATACTCTCTTTCTCAACCCTCCTAAACTCTTTGATAGGGATTCAGCCTTTGTGAATATTTTGCTAATATAGGTAGAGGTTATTCAGTTGTTCAGTTAGGGGCTATCCTTATTCACAAGTCCCTGAGCTAGATGATGTCTGAAAAGCAGAATTGTGTAAAAAAATCATGATCTTAATTCTCAGGAATTCAAGGGAAGGTAATGTCTATATGCAAAAATGTACTTGCACCACAAAGGAATATGGGCTATGTACCACAGAGGAAATAGAAACCAAACACAGTAGGAACACAGATGGAAGGGATTATTGAGGAGTGGCATTTAGCTGGCCTTGAAAGACCACTTGTAGGGCATTCTTAGCAGAGAAATACAGTGTTCTCTGTAGTTTGGGTGGACATGAGGAAACCCACTAGTGGTCAATTGGAGCGATGCGCTTACTAGGCCATGAACTCAGCAATAATTTACCTAGTGATCACTGGACTTTTTCCAGGTCCTAGTTAGTGGTGGGGCACAAGAAGGTGAACAAGTCTGCAAGGAAGCTTTCACACTTAACAGGCCCCTCTTCCAGTAATCCACATTCCCTGAATGGTCATTTCTGCTTCTCTACCTGGCTCTTTCCCTCACTTTTGTCAGATTCCTGCACAGATATTACCAAAGAAGAAAGGTTTTCTTCAACCATCTTTTGCACAGTAGCACCATGTTTCCTGCCTTATTTTTGTTTATATTACCTCTCACCTCCTGACATTGTCCATGAAGTACATTTTGCCCATTTTCCATAGTAGACAATGAATTCTGAGAGAGGAGGGATTTTGTTTTGCTCATTGCTGTATTTCTAATACATAGAAAACGGCCTGGCACAGAGGGTGCTTAATAAATACTTGCATGGATGATTGAAGAGCTTTCCTGTGGAGACAGAAGAGCTAAGAGTTACAACATGATTGTACAAAAAAAGCCATGAGAGCAGTGTAGTACTTGGGAAATTCAGAATAGAGAGATGCCTCCCTCCACTAGGGTGGAAGAAATGGTCATGCAGAAAGTATCATTTGCATGGCATCCTAAAAGATAGGAGGGCTTGGGCAGCACCTGTGGCTCAAAGGAGTAGGGCACCGGCTCCATATACTGGAGGTGGTGGGTTCCAATTTAGCCCTGGCCAAAAAAAAAAAAAAAAAGAGAGAGATACCAGGGCTTGCTTAGGTCAGTGTGGCAGGAAGGGCACTCCAGGCAGATGGAACAGTGCATGCAAGGGCAGGTGTGGCTACAGTATGTGAGGCAGAAAGGGAAGTCTCCAAAGCTCTGTTAGTTAAGGAGAGTGACGTATCAAGATTTGTGTTCTAGAAAGGTGACTAGACAGTGGATGGAAGGCGCAGTCTGGCCACGGGAACTTCCTTTTTTCTATTACAGAGCTCCAGGTGAAAGACGTGAGGGTTTGAACTGAAGCAGAGGCAAAGGAAGGGGAACATGGGAGAGAGAACAGAGTTGACGGTTTTCTACTATTACATCAAAGGGGACAGAGATGGGACACAGTAACTTTTAGGGCCCTGATTGACACAACATAGGAGTCATTGATCAAGAAAGATAGTGTGACTTGACTTTCACTGTCTTACTGTTGGGGGTAAAACCAGGGAGATTTTTAAGCTCTCCTGATGATTCCAGTGTTCAGCTATGTCTTAAATTTTATTTATTTATTTATTTATTGAGACAGAGTTTCACTTTGTTGCTCTCAGTAGAGTGCTATGGTGTCATAGGTCACAGCAACCTCGAACTCCTGGACTCAGGCAATTCTCTTGCCTCAGCCTCTTGAGTAGCTGAGACTATAGGCACCTGCCACAATGCCTGGTTATTTTTAGAGACAGGGTCTCCATTTTTGCTCAGGCTGGTCTTGAACTCGTGAGCTCAGGCACCAGCCTCGGCCCCTCAGAGTGCTGGGATTACGGGTATGACCCATCACCCCCAGCCACAATTCATTTGTTTTCATAGGGATGTCTTTCTAAGAGCATGTTAGGATGAAGTGATAGTTGTGGATGTTGATGGACTTATGAACTTAAATTGGATCTTAAGGTGAAGGGGATGCAGCCAGGCTGGGAGAAAGAGAAAGTGAGTTGCAGTGGGGACCCGAGGAGTCACAGACCAGGGAGCTGAGAGAGGAGGCTGCAGCCATCTCAGAAGGGCCTCTCAATAACTAGGTGGGGAGTGTGGATTTAATTCACTAGCTGCGAGGGAAGATAAGAGTAGCCTAATCAAAGCATAATGTGGAAGAGTCAAACAAGAAAAGCAAGGGTTACCACAAAGTTTGCAGTGAATCAGAAATGAGGTGGAAAGGGCTGAGCTGGATTATGGTAGAGAAATTGCAGAGGAAGGTTTATTTTGAAGGAAGAATTAGATGATCTCTTCATTGCTCTCGGGCTCCTAGCGCAGTGCTTGGAATGGTCAGTTTTGGTTGAGTCAGTGACTCAGTGAAGTTGGGCCATATAGAGTAGAGAAAGATATGGAGAAGACAGTTCCTGGGTTACAAACAACGTAAGTTATGTACGTTTGTTCTTTTTATTTTTTTCGAGCGTCTCCCTCTGCCCTGGGTAGAGTGCCATGGTGTCTTAGCTCTCAGCAACCTCAAACTCTTTAGCTTAAGCGATACTCTTGCCTCAGCCTCCTAAGTAGCTAGGACCACAGTTGTGCCCACCACCATGCCTGGCTAGTTTTTCTGTTTTTAGTAGAGACAGTGACTTCTGTTGCTCAGACTGGTCTCGAACTCCTAAACTGAGGCAATCCACCTGCCTTGGCCTTCCAGAGTGCTGGGATTATAGGCATGAGCCACCCATGGTAGACACCATGCCTGGCCTGTAGGTTTGTGTGTGTAAGTTGGAACACGAACATTTACCTATCACCTGTAATAGTCTCTGTTCATAAGTGCAAGTGGGATGTCAGTCAGATGTTTGTAACTTGGGAACTCACTGTAACAGCCTCTGTAAATGTAAGTTGTAGGTAAGTCAGATGTTAGTAACTCAGGGACTGTTATGTAGAGAAAACCTGTAAAGTTTTCATTCAAGAAGTTTGGTGGAATGAAAAAGGAACAAGGCAGTGGTTGAATCAACTCAAAGGATTCCAAGAGTGATGCTTAGGTCTCATTTGCAAGCCATTTCTCCTATGATACCGTCAGCAGACTCCTGGCCTTTTATCTCTGCAAAGAAGAAAATGAATATACCAGCTCATCTGGGCACAGGAAACGTACTCATGATAACTGTACTTAAAGATGAGTTTGTAGGCTAGAATGCCATGTAAATATTGAGGTATCTGAAAGCTAGGATTGATTTTTTTTTTTGGTCTGTCAAGGTCAGTCAGCACATCCAAAGATAAAAAAGTGGAAAAGTGGAAATTTACAATCAGCAAAGTTCAGTATTTCTCAAGGAGTATTTCATAAAACAATGCTAGCAGATATACTCTCTTTTAGGGTGAGTTTTTTTATTTATTTTTTTTTTGAGACAGAGTCTCACTATGTCACCTTTGGTAGAGTACTGTGGCGTCACAGCTCACAGCAACCTCAGACTCTTGGGCTTAAGTGATTCCCTTGCCTCAGCCTCCCAAGTAGCTGGCACTGTAGGTGCCCAGCTATTTTTGGGGTGCAGTTGTCATTGTTGTTTAGCGGGTCCCAGCTGGGCTCAAACCCACCAGCTTTGGTGTATGTGGCTGGCGCACTACT